TATAATAAACCCTATTTATGATATATATAAATACATATATATATGTGTACATATATATATATATATATATATATATTTGGTCTTAGACAATCATAAACGGAGGTTTTGTCTACCCATCGTTAAACACCTTTTCTGTATGTAAATATAAATACAATTTATATATATATATATATATTTATTTATTTATATTTATAGATATACATATGCACGTATATATGTATATATATATTACATATTAATAGGAATAATCATTAATGCTTATAATTTGTAATCAAGGTGTTGCAGTTCTTGTTGTTGTTTAGGGTTTAGGCTATCGTTATTATTATTATATTTCTTGTCATTATTATTATTATTATATTTGTTATAATAACAATAATAATAATATTATTATTATTATAATTATTCGTATTATTATTATTATTCTCATTATTATTATTATTGCATTTATTGTTGTATGTTTGGGGTGTATGTGCAGCTAACTCGTCTTGTGCTGCGGGAGTATGACCATCTACTAACGAAAGATAAAATAGATGAAGAGGTAGAAGGTGCTTTTGAAGCAGCAATAAATAAACAAACGCTCTTCGATACTGAAGCCTTAGGAGATCCCAACTTGCAAACACTTAAACCAGGCTAGTCTACAAACCCTAAACCCTAAACCCTAGACGCTGCCTCTAATGTACACAAAATGTACACAAACCCTAAACCCTTTCAATAGGCCCTTAGATGATAAACAGTTTTTAATACCTTGAGAATAAACCCTTTATAGACCCTATATATACTCTCTAAACCCTAAACCCTGCGTAAACCCTAAACCCTAATGCAATCGATGTGCAGAAGAAATGGACTGCTTGGGGTTGGGGACCTCCCATCCTTTTGTCTCTCCCTCGAGGGCGAGGCTATAGGGTTTAGGGTTTAGGGTTTAGGGTTTAGGGTTTAGGGTTTAGGGTTTAGGGTTTGGCGCATGCAGGCGACAAGCTGCAGCTTGAGAGGAGAGGATATTTTATTTTCGACAAAGTCGAAGGCGACGCTCGCATTTTCATCAAAATACCCGTAAGCAAAGTGCAATACAGTAAACAACACCATTAACAGCAGCAGCAGCAGCAGCAGCAACAGCAGCAGTAGCAGCGGCAACAGCAGCAGTAGCAGGAGTAGCAACAGCAGCAGCAGCAGGGGCAACAGCAGCAGCAGCAGTAGTAGCAACAGCATGTTGTTTTAGTTGTTATCTTTGTTTGCTTGTTTATATTCATTTTGACAATTTATTTTTATTTACATTCATTTTGATTTATATTTATTTATATTTATATTTATTTATATTTATTTATTTATATTTATTTATTTTTATTTTAATTATTTTTGTTTGTTTAGGACGGGCGGACGAAGTCTATGTCTGTCGTCAGCGCTAAGGTGGATGCTGCAGCACTTGCAGGGAAGAAGAAGAAATAAAGTATTTGTTTATTTTGTTTATTTTGTTTATTTTGTTTGTTGTGCTCAGTTGTTTGTTTGTTTTGTCTGTTTTGTTTGGTTTTGTGGCGGTGTTTGCTCATTCGCTTTTCTTCTAGGGTTTAGGGTTTAGGGTTTAGGGTTTCCTCGAGAAAACCCTAAACCCTAAACCCTAAACCCTAGAAAGAAGAATGAACAGCAATACAAACAAATGACAACAGCAACAAGCAACATAAAGTTTACCTAAACCCTAAACCCTAGGGGCTGATGGTGATTGTTAAGAGTTGGGTAGGAGACGGAGCAGCTGCGTTTAGGGTTTAGGGTTTAGGGTTTAGATGCTTATTCAGGGTGTCCAGGCAGGGAGGAAAGAAACAGAAAAGAAATATAATTTGTAATGCAATAGAAACAGAGACAAAGAGGCAGTTACAAAGGCAAGGGGCCTTATCAGACCAACTCAAACAAAAACAAACGCAGACATGCTGCTGTTTCTGCTGCTGCAGTTACTGCTGCTGCAGCGTCTTCTTCTGCAGCTACTGCTGCTGCAGCTTCTGTGGCTGCAGCTGCTGCTGCAGCTTCTGCTGCTTCAGCTTCTGCTGCTGCTGTTTCTGCTTCCTGTACAAGGATGACAGAGGGATAGGGGTGTTTTGCTGCTACGCTGCTGCAGCTTTAGGGTTTAGGGTTTAGGGTTTAGGGTTAATATGAGGTGAGAATAATTTAATTCTAATAATTTCATTAAAAGTAGTAACTTAACTTAATTAAATAAAATTAAATTAAGTCGATATAAACAATCGCGGTGTTGTTGCTGCTGGGAGTTTCGACAGGCGTTGCCGATGGTGGCGCTCAATTTTTTAATTTGATTGCAAATTGCGACAAAATAAATTAAACTATATAAAATTAAATTAATTAATACAATTGAAATTGTAAACAACATAACGAATTCAACGAGAATTAGGAGGAGGCTCTGGAGTCCGCTGCGCCCCGTCTGCATTTGCAGCTTCTGGTGAGGGTATTGAATTAGGGTGTATGAACGCTAAAAACATTAACACTTCTGCAAGAAATATATTATTAAATACATAATAGCAAACTTTATTTTTTAAATTCAAATTAACAGACAGAATTATACGGGGAAACGGAGGCCATCTGTCTATGTGGAGTCGCAGGAACGGAAGCGGAGGCGGTGCAGGAGGCGAGTGTGAAGGAAAAGATTAAAAAATTATCCTTTTTTGTGTTCGAATGAAAAGTAAAGTTTAAATACATTTAATTCAATGAATTTTTGACTTAATATTTGAACTCTCCCTCAGAAAATGCCGGCTGAGCCATGGCTGTACATACAATTGCATATAGTATACCGACAGGGGCTCCGGCGTTTCTGCAACAGAGGAAGGTAGAGGAATATGATGGATTGTTTTTCTTCGTGAATCTTTTGCATGAGTTTTTTGTTTAAATTAAATTTATTTCTTGCATTTGTCTGCAGCTTTCCTCTTTTCTTATCTCCACAGAGAAGAATTCAAAATGAGCCTCTCACCCAGCGAACCACCGAGCAATGATGCACATACACCCGAAACGACGGCTGAGGCGCAGCCGGACGAAGATTCTCTTCGGAGCTGGTTTTGGGTGATTACTCATTATGATCCTATACTTTTTAAAACGACCTTAAAAATATCTTTTAAATGACACAAAAATCCTTCATGAAATCCTCTTAATACCCTCATTACTCGGCTTGCCGTGTGGTTGCATTTCGGGTGTCTCATCAGCTCAAAATCGACAGCAGAAACTCTTGCATTTGTTGCATTTCACTTATGAATTCAAGTGGAAATATATTATATTTCTACTTCCTGCATCAGCAGGGACAGCAGCAGCAGCTAGTTCATGCCTTCTATTGATTGTATTGACGCACAGACACACGATTATTATTCTGTAAGAAATAGGAAAACGCTGCTGCTTTTTTGTGCTTCTTGCAGGCACCACCTCTACAGAGTCCCCAAGAACAACCCATTTATATTGCCTGCGGAATCGCCAACATTTTGGTGCCTTGTGGAGTAGGAGCTATAATCAGCGGATTGGTTACGAAGAAGCGTTTGCTGCTACGTTCAGGTCTGCTGCAGCTGCTGCTAATATTCGTCGGCGTAGGAGCTATTTGTTCTATCGTATACGGCGTTAGCATGCTTATGGCAGCAGCAGCAGTAGCATCAGCAGCAGCAACAGCAACAGCAGCAGACGAAGAAGACAAGGAAGCACCACTTGAGCCGCAGGAGATACAGCAGCAGGAGCAGCAGCAGGAACAACAGCAGGATCAGCAGCAGGAGCAGCAGCAGGAAGGCCATGGAGAGCAGCAGCAAGACGAACAAATCGATCAGCAAAGCAGCGAAGAATCTCTACAAAGACACATCACAGAAGACCCAATACCATATACAGGCCTCCAATCAAGAGTGCAGCATCAGCAGCTGCAGCGCGCCGATCTCTGCATTCTCCCCTCAGAAGACTTCGTGCAGTAGCTCCAGTTGTACAGGCACGAACACCTGTACCAGCAAGCCAGCTAGCTGGCTAGCTAGCTAGCTAGGACCCAGCTAGTTAGCAAGAACGTTGATGGCTAGCTGGCTAGCCGCGCTAGCCAGCTAGTTAGCCAGCCAGGTAGCTAGCTACCTTGCTAGCTACCTGGCTAGCTAGCCGCTAGTTAGATAGCCAGCTAGCTAGCTAGCTACGTGGCTAGCTAGCTAGCTAGCTAGCTAGCTAGCCAAGTTTGTGTTTGTGAATTTGCTATTCAGAGAGGGCGATAACCGCCCTGCAGTTGTGCACTGCATACTCTCTCCCCTCCTGTGCAACTTGGGAAAGGGTTTAGAATTTAGGGTTTAGGGTATAGGGTTTGTTTCAGCAGGCACCTCAGAAGGCGTTATATGCTGGAGCCTGCGCTGCTAGCTAGCTAGCTAGTTAGCTGCACACTTAGCTATCCACATAGCTAACTGGCTAGCCATACAGCTAGCTAGTCATACACCTAGCTAGCCACGTAGCTAACTAGCTAGCCATATAGCTAGCTAGCTAGCCATGTAGCTAGAGATATAGCTAGCTAGCCACATAGCTAGCTAGCTAGCCATACAGCTAGCTATCTAGCCATATAGCTAGAGACATAGCTAGCTAGTAACATAGCTAGCTAGTAACATAGCAAGCTAGCTAGCTAGCCATATAGCTAGCTAGCTGCATAGCTAGCCAGCTAGCTAGCTAGGCGTCGCTGCTTCTTTGTTCATCTGCACAGCGACGAGCCAGACGATGTCAATTCAAATTAATTAAATAAGCGGAATTAAATTAACTAAATTAAATTAATCCAATTAAATAAATATAATTAACTAAACTAAATAAACGAGTTAAACTAAACAAATAATTAGTTAATTATTTTAATTCCACTAAACATTAAACTAAATTAAATTAAATTAAATTAAGTACAGTTAAATAATACGAAATCAACTTCTTCTGCCCACATGCAATAACAAAGAAAGCTGCACTCACCAACCTCCACAGGGCCCTCAAGGGTACCTCCCCATAGAATGAAAAGGGGCCCCCAGAGGGCCTTCGGGGGCCCCCAAGGCTGGCTACCCTTGGGGGGCCCCCTGGGGGCCCATAGGATAAAGAGGGGCCCCCAGAGGGCCTCTGGGGGCCCCCAAGGGCAGTCCCCCATAGGGTAAAGAAGGGCCCCCAGAAGGCTAGTGGGGGCCCCTGGGGGGCCCTAATGTAGCCCCCATGAAGTTCCCTAATGGCTCCCTTGGCTACCCAGGGGCCCCCTTAGATCAATACACCTCAAAATTGACCCTTGGGGGCCCCCGAGGATAGCCACCCATAGGATAAAAAAGGGCCCCTGGAGGGCCCCATGGGGGCCCCCAAGGGTAGTCCCCCATAGGGCAAAGAAGGGCCCCCAGAGGACCCCGTAGGGCCCCCTAAGGGAGCCACCTACAGGGTTTAAAGAGGTCACGAGGCCCCCTAAGAATAAAACCCTCACAGGGTTTAGAAAGGCCCCCAAGAGGGGGGCCCCCATAGGATTAAGAGGGGCCCCCAGAGGGTCCCCAGGGGCAGACCCCCGCAACTCTAAACCCTAGAGGGGCCCCCAGAGGGGCCCCCTAAGGGCCCCTAATGTCTAACCCCCGGAGAGCCCCCTTAATGCAATTAGCTGGTGGAGGGAAAGCGGGTGTCTATGCAGCTGCATGAATATATTTAAAGCGTCAAGAAAAAGAAAACTGCTGTAGAAGCGGAAGCAGCGCGAAAGCAGCAAAGACAGTGCTGCTGCTGCTGCTGCTTCTGGTGCTGCTGCTGCTGCTGCTCTTCATGCTGTTGCTGCTGCCGCTGCTGCTGCTGCTGGGGTGCTGTACTCTGCACAGCTGGAAGAGATACACCGGAGAAGAAGCCTCCCATACACCATACACCCCACCCCAGGGGTAGTCAAGTATTGAAGTACAATCATTATTAAAAGACAAGGAAGAAATACTTTTAAATATAAAAACCCCACATATAAGCAAACAACTTCGATTATTATTAACCCTAAACCCTAAACCCTAGAAGAGACAAAGACGTAGAAGGGCCCAGCAATACAAATGATGCTACTAGATAATCCTCTGTTGCTACTGATGTTGATACTGTCAATGCTGCTGCTGCTGCTGCTGCTCTTTTTCAATGCACCCCTGCAAACGGAGCATCAGCAGCTGAAGCGGCAGCAGCACCATGAGCAGCAGCAGCAGAAGAAAATGCGGGACTAGACCTCTTCTTTATGTTTATGTGCCGATCTGCTGCTGCTGCTGCTGCTGCTGCTGCTGCTGCTGCTGCTGCTGCTGCGGGAGGTGTAAAATGCAGTTAATGCGCAGCAGCAAAATGATGATTCTGCGATCTGCAAAGTCATGTGAAAATAAATTAATATAAGCCAGAGGATTCTCTTTAACCTCCAACTCGTTGCTACTACATCTACTACTAGTACTATTACTGCTGCTGCTGCTGCTGCTGCTGTTGTTGTTGTTGTTTTTGCTGTCAGCCCATTCTTGTACTTGCCGGAGTAAGGGTTTGAGGAGTTTTTTGATGAGAAGTTTGTTTGCTTTTTTTGCTGCACTTTTAATGCCGACGGGTTTATCTTTTAATGCGGATACACCTTGAAGAAACCAGTATTGAAAGAAAGGGAATTCAACAAAGCGCCTAGGGGCTGTCACCTCCCCTGTAAATGCATGCACACAAAGATAAAGCAGCAGCACAAATACTTATCTTTCATCCTCCTTGCTGCTGCTCATGCTGCAGGAGCAGCAGCAGCAGAAACCACAGCAGCACCTGCACAAGAAGATATAGCAGGTGCTGCTGTTGCTGCAAAAGAAGCAGCAGCAGCTGCACCGTCAGCTACGACAACAACGGAAGAAGCAGCTCCGATCTAGCAGCAAGGGCAGCAGCAGTAGCAACAGCAGCAACAACAGCAAGAACAGCAGCACCATGAAGGGCAGCAGCAGCAGCAGCAACACGAAGGGCAGCAGCAGCAAGAATGGCTGTACCGCAAAGCATCCGGAAGGTGATTGGAGTGTGTCTTCTGTTTCCTGTTGTTGCTGCTGCTGCTGCTCCTACAGCAGCAGCAGCAGCAGCAGCAGCAGGAGTTGGGTTTGTTATTGCTGCCATTCTTTTCTGCAGCGCAACAGCCTTCTGCTCCTCTGCTACCCACCGCAGCAGATTTTTAATAAGATCTTCTGCATGTACAGCACTTGTCCTATAAAAAGATTTAAATAAACGAGAGCCCCCAGCAATAAAAGGAGAAGAGACAAAGGAAGCAACAGACCCACTACGACTTAGAGAAGGCTGCTCCCCAGCAGATGCAGCATCGCTTGCTGCTGCTGCTGTTGCTGTTGCTGCTGCTGCTGCTGATTCGCCTGCAGTACTTCCTTCTGCTGCTTCTCCTGCTGCTGATGATGATGATGTGGACTCTGCGCTGCACGTAGCATTCTCTACAGCAATACCTGCTGCTGCTCCTGCTGCTGCTGTTGCTGCTGTTGATGCTGCTGTTGATGCTGCAGTTGATGCAGGTGCGTCTGCTGTTTCGCCGGAGGCTAAGGAGGCACTGTCAGTCCTTGCTTCTTCTGCTGCGGCTGTTGCTGCTGCTGCTGTTGTTGCTGCAGCGGCTGTTGCTGCTGTTGCTGCTGCTGCTGCTGCTGCCTCACGGGGGGCCCCCTTAGAGACCTCCTGCTGGGCCCCCATGCGATTTGCAGCAGCAAATATCTGCAGAGGACAACGAAGAGAGATATAATAAAAAAAATAAAAACCAAGAGAGAAGACAAAAAGGATAAATAAACAATAAATAAAAAGTAAATAAAGAGGAGGCAAAATAAATGAAGAGAAAAAATAAACAAAGATGAGACGACAATAAATAAAAACGAAAGGAGACGCGGAAACAAACAAACAAAACAAACAAAGAGACAGACAACGAAGGAGATGCAGCAGCAAGAGACAAACAAAAACAAATAAAATAAACAAAAATAATCAAGACAAAGATATTCAGAAAATATTTTTTTTTCATACCGGGGAGACCTTCTGAACCCACTCCGCGACAACAGACGAACTGCAGCACTTGCAGCAGCAGCTGCAGCAGCAGCAGCTACTGCTGTTGCTGCTGCTGCTGCAGCAGCTGCTGCTGCTACTGCTGCTGCTGCAGCTGCAGCAGCTGCTGCTGCTGCTGCTGTTGCTGCTGCTGCTGCGGAGACAGTGAGGATCTGCTTTACACTGCGTAAACGATAAGTCAGGAAGAGATTTCTCTTGATGTCCCCAAAACAAAACTAGACGCTGTCCTCTAAACAAATAATAAATAATAAAGCAGCAGCAAACAAAGCAGTAGCGGCAGATAATGAAGAGGAGGGGCATCAGAAGATATTTAGCACCAACAGCAGCAGCACCAGGAGGAGCAGCAGCATATAATCAGCAGCAGCAGATGATGATAAGGGGTAGCAGCAGATAAATAACAGCAGCAGCAGCAGATAAACATCAGCAACAGCAGATAAATAACAGCAGGAGCAGATAAACATCAGCAGCAGCAGAAAAACAACAGTAGCAGCAGCAGATAAACAACAGCAGCAGCAGCAGATAAACAACAGCAGCAGCAGCAGATAAATAGCAGCAGCAGCAGATAAACAACAGCAGCAGCAGCAGATAAACAGCAACAGCAGCGGCTACCTTTGGACAAGTTGTTTTAAAGTAATTCCTTCTTCAAGTGGGGGCCCTAAGAAGCGCCCGAGGACGGAAGCAACGCAATAAAAAACCTCAGAAGCAGATATATCTTTTAGTCTGCAAAATGTTTCACCTAGGAGGCCTTCATCAGCAACACAACTCAGAAAGACAACTTCACTTGGATGAAGATCAAGAAACTGCTGCACTTCCTCCAATACTCGCATCTACACCGCAGCAGCACAAGCAGCACATCAGACAGCAGCAGCAGCAGCAGCAAATGCAAAGGCAGCAGCAGCAGCATATATGCTCTAGAAGCAAAGATGCATCGTCAGCATTTTCAGCAGCAACTATACAAAAGCAAAAAGGCTAAAACACCAAATGCAGCAGCCAGAAGCCAGAACCACCATACGCAGATTCAGCGCTGCAGCAGCAGCAGCAGCAGCAGCAGCAGCACTAACACAAGCAGCAGGAGCAACTTCATCACCAGCACCAACAGCACTATCACAAGCAGCAGCAGCAGCACCAGCATCAGCCTCATCCCCAGCAGCAGCACCCGCAACAACAGCAGCATCCGCAGCAGCAACCACATCCGCTGAAGCACCCGCAGCAGCAGCAGCAGCAGCAGCAGCAGCAGCAGCAGCAGCAGCAGCAG